TTTTACACCTTAGGTTTAAAGTGTAATTTTGAGGTTGCATTACTTGTAGAACTCTGGACAGTTTGATTCAGAATTCCTAATATCTAAAATAAAATAAATCTCTAAAATAAAATAAATCTCTAAAATAAACAGCCCCAAGGGATGAAGAGCATCTCCTAAGGACCACCTCTCTCTAACAAACGTGGAGAGATCTTCTGGGGTCTCCCACCCACACAGACAGAAGTAACGCAACCTGTGTCTCAGGTCTGGATGACAATGGAACATCAACTCATGGTCAAGGTCTACTGCCAAGTTTGAGAACTCAAATATCTACTGGGACCAGATTTCATTTTACTAAAATAAATCTAAAAATCCATACTTTATAAGAAATCAACTGATATTAAAGCACTGATCTACTTTATTTTAATATTATGTGATCTGAATTTGGCCTCTGCTCATCAATTTGGTAACTAGAGTCTGAGGTTTAGTTTTTTTTTTTAAATGCATAGGATATGCTGAGAAACAAAATAATGATAGTAAATAAACGTTATGTGCTACATATTTTATAAGCATGAAACTTATCCTTATAATCACTGTAATCATGAGTATTCTTTCCCTTTTTACAAATGTGGAAGTTAAGCAACACAGACATTAAGAAATTGGCCCCCAAGTCCCATTAGTTAGTGAAGAATCTGTGCTTTTAACCTTTGAATCTGAAGTTGCACATGGTTACTTTTTGTTCATTTTCTCCTACTCCTTTTCCTCAGTAAATGTTTAACCCTGTCTAGTACTACTAGATAACTACTCTGTGGAGAGTTGTCTTCATTTTACACCATGGTAGCCTCAAAGAAACATCTCTATTAATATCAAATATTCTTCTGACATTGTAGGAAATGCTGTGGTTTTCAAATATGAAGACGCTGCCCAGTCTTGAAATTATGAAAAGGACACTAAGCAGGTTTCTCTGATTGCTTCCAGAAATCAAGGTAATACTTGGAAATTATCCTCTAAAATGAATTTGCATAGTTTTTGTATATGGCATTCAGACACAGAATTTAAATACATTACAGTCTGGAAGGAGATGTTTAGCTGGAGCAATCTTGGACAAAAAAGAATAGCAACAGCAGCAGCAGCAGCAGCAGCAGCAGCAGCAGCAGCAGCTAGGATGCCATCCCTACTGCCACAAGCATAGTTAGCTCTGCTGTCCTATCTGCAGGTGTGCAGGTGCAGGGCAAGGACACAAGGGAAAATGCCAGAGTGATGACAGGTGCGCATCCACCTCAAGCTCCTGTGACACCTGTGTGGGGGCACCAGGTGTGTGACCCTCCACCGGTGGTGTCAGCCAGGGTTCAAGAGTTTCTTCCCAAGGCATATTATTGACGTGACAATGACTTGGCTACTCCAGAGAGGCAGCTTTATTAAAGAAAACTGGGACTTGCATACTTTTCTCAGTTAATGAGTGATCCACTTGTGTATTACTTCATTTTCAGGAACTGAATCATGTATCTATGCCAAGGCATTGATGACTGTTAAACACACACTCAATGGCAAGTCGATAGTTACTCTTGACTGGCAGAGATCATCTCCAGTACAAGGCAGCTAGCATGAAAATCTCCCCCATCCCTAACCCTATTTCCAGGAATCCTCAAGGTGGTTATAGTGGTAAAAACACCCAACAGATGCTCAAAGCAGTGGCGTGAGATCCTTTCTCAACACAGCCTTCTCTCCTAGAGTCCACACCCTATGCATCTCTAGGAACCTTTCCAACAACTTTCCATGCTCAGCCCACACGGTTTTCCAAGCAGATCTACACTCAACTCCTTGGTGTCATCTTACAGCACTTCTAGCTTTATCTTCTCCAAGATCAGTTTATTTTCCCCCCAATTTACTTCACGTCTCCTCAGTCACTTATCTGCAGAGCAGCTGCTGAAGATTTTAAGACACTTACTGTAGTAAGGTTCTGATGTTCTCAGCATGAAATCCAAACTCTTTACCACGGTTTGTATTCTTATGGTAGTCTGTTCCTCCTACTGTATCTATCCTACAGCCCAATACTATCCTTTATTTTTTTATTTTTTTAACAAACTATGCAATATATTAAGAAATTAATGGACAAAAGGCATAGAAGCCTGTCTCGGCCAGCAATGACACAGGATTCCTAGATTCAGAGACAAGAGGAAGGGGCTTATATGCTACGCTAGACAAAGATATGTATGTGGGCTTCGTCAAGAACTCTTAACCCCTTTAAAACAAGACAAGTGTAGTGGTCATGCCTGTAATCCAACACTCTGGGAGGCTGAGGCAGGAGAATCCCAAGTATGAGCCTAGACTTGGCGGCTTAGTGACTTAGCAAGAATCTGTCTCAAAAAAAAAAAAAAAAATTAAATGCTAAAGATGTAGCTCACTGTGAGGGCCCTGTGTTCACTCCTCAGTGTCTGTCTGTCTGACACACACACACAGAGTTCTAATTAAAGGCACTGTGAGGATAAGGGCCCTGTGTTCACTCCCCAGTATCTCTCTGCCTCTCTCACACACACACACGAAGTTCTAAAACATGGTGTTTTAATTGCAGTTTCCATTCCCAGACTCCCTTGTGCCCTTCTCAGTCATCCTGCTCCACCTTGGAGAACATTCTCCACCATTCCCTAATCCAAGGCTTTCTCTCTCTGTATTTTCTTACCATGATTTCCTTCCCAGCCATTTATCCTGATCTGTAACTGTGTTCATTTACATATTTATGGAACACTACGTGGTGCTTTCCAACACTCTAAGTTTCATAACAAGGAGATTTATTATTTTTTGCCTTTCAATTCACAGCTACTGCCGTTATGGGACACAACAGAAGCTCAGGGCATGAGATGCAGAAGAACTCAATGACAATTTAATGCATAGGTATTTGCACTTTTCTACTTTCTAAAATCCTAGCCAACCTAAGAATCCATTAGGGAAACTTCAAGATGTCATCTAAATTCCCCCCAATAACTCAGCACACATGGAACGCAAGCTCCCACACACGGGGTGAGAGTAATTCATTTTCTCTGCTTTCACCGCGGAACTGTTGGGGGCTGCCAGAGGTCACTACCACCGCCGCAGCAGCATGGTACTTGTCCAGAGAATTATCTAGTCTCACTGCACATGGCAATAAGGATGAGAATAAATTGAGGGCTTCAGTTCAGACAGAAAGAAAATCTGCTTCTGAAAACTGCTTTATTAATTATATAGTTAAACAAAAAACATCCCAAGTGATTGCGACCCTGGCATGGTGTAAACTCATAGAAATAAGAATTATGATGTTTTTCTTACTACTAAGAATCTGAATACATATATATATATATATATATATATAATATGCATAAAATATATATTATATATAATTTTAGCAAAACCCATCAAATAATCTTCTCATAACTATCTCTTAATATTTCATTTTTAGGTCAACTCCAGGGAAGGATAAGTTGGGCTGATTTTTGTTTTTGTTTTTGTTTTTGCTTTGTTTTGTTTTGTTTTGTTTTGAGGCACTGTCTCTCTATTTAATTCAGGCTGGCCTTGAACTCACTTATGTAGCACATGCTGGCCACAAACTCATGGCAATCCTCCTGCCTCAGCCTCCTGAGTGCTGGGATTATAGGTGTGCGCTACCATGCCTGGTTTGGGCTGGCATTTTTTGATCTCTAGTTCTCAAGCTTATTTTCTAGCTAGGTCTTACTTTTAGGGAAAGAAGGTGCTTATAATTGATGAGTACAAGGTCCAAGCATAGGAAGGTGGGGAACATTATGGCCTTAGTAGCAGTGATAGTAATAGCTGCATCAATCTGATGCTCCCTGTATTTGAGAAGAGAACAATAGGATGGACTGAATGCAGCTGTCATTGTCTGGAGTGGAAAAGATAGGACACCAGTTCACCTCTGGTTTTTTCTGGCAGTATGAGTTAGGAACATCTTTTAACTTTCCTTGACACTTGATTCCCTATTCTGGCAAGTCAGTAAGTTAAGTGCTATGGTTTAGGTAAGTGTCTGCTGGATGACCCTTGTTCCTCAGTGTGTGGTACAGTTAGGAGCTCTCTCGCTTCCTGGCTACCATGAGCTACGAGGCTTTCTCCACTGTATACTGTTACCATGATATCACTGCCTCCCCACATGGTCAAAAACAGCAGGGCCAACTGACCACAGACTGAAACAACCAAAACTAGGAGTCAAAGCAAACCTTTCCTCTCTACAAGTTAACTGAGTCTGGTATTTTGTTATAGGAACAGAAATCCAACTTGCACAGTAAGTTTTGTACCTCAACTGTACCTGCAAGAAATTGAAGCTTGAAATCACTACCAAGAATGCTTAGTTATATACATGTTCAGGAATTGGCAGGCAATGTCACTTCTATATGAACTGAAGCAACTCACTTGCTTCAGAGAGTAAACCATCAGTCCCATTTTACAAAAGGGGGAGAAAGCAAACTCAAAGACATGACTGAAGAAAATCCACATATGGTAACAATCTTGTGACTCCACAAGATGGGTTAGCTGTATTTATTATCATTATTGCCCACTGAGATATTTTTCTTATTTCTGGGGAAACTACAGCCTACAAAATTGCAAAGGTGTAGTATGACTAAAACTCAGGTGACACCTAAGCAAGCATTTTCTCTCCTATGTAACTCTGCCTCACAGGGTAGTTGGCTTGCAGTGAACAGCTACCCTGGAGTGTCTAAATGACAGACACAGACAAACTGGAATAATTGCAAAAACATTCCTGCTGCATTCCTTGGCATTCACAAAAGCCCAGCATAATGGTGAAAGGCTGGCACTCTCGTGTGAAAATCAGCACATTCTCGTAGCAGCTCATTGGATGTCTTTCTCCCTCAAATGGAGGTGCTAACTGTCTTCTCCTGCTTACACTTTGAAAATTAGCCTACTGGGAAACAAGTTTGAACTGAGAAGACTGGAGTGCTTTCAGCTTGTTCAAATTGGAGTCATCGGGATAAATGTAGCACGAAGCATTGAGAAATGAATGAACTGAAAAGGCTTACTTCAAAGACCAGTGTCTCATTGGTGGGTCCTGGTGCGTAGAGACGTTCTGGATTGTTGAAAGAACGCTGGTATTCAAATGTGGTCCCAGCAAAGAGGAATTCCCCTGGCCAGTCGATGCTCCAGCTGCCTGTGAGGTAATACTTGTGGCTGAGGCTTCGAACAGCAAGATAACTGGAGGATATCTGCAGCTCCTGGACCTCAATGCTTCGAGCCCCCGCTGGAATGATGACCACTGGATAATATTCTAAATGGGAAGAATAGAACAGTTCTGAATTCTACACTGTGCATTAGAGAAGGGGGACCAAAAATGCCCAGAACCATGCAGTGTCCATTTTCTTAGTGCAGAGTTTTTGGACCACTAATTGACACTCAGTCCCACTCCACGAAGAACAGTTATTTCATTTTTCAAGAGTTAGAAGCACTAGTAGATGCGGCTTTCCCAGTATCTTACTAAGCGTGTGTCTGTGGATAGAAGACATACTCTTCTCCTTCCAAGGCCAAGAGAGACCTCAAACTCAAAAATGCCCTCTGGTCTGTCTAACTTAGCCAAAAGAAATTTAAAGCCATGTGTTTTTAACAAGTAATATTCTGGAAACTCAAGATGTTTAGATAATTGTTTCAAATATTCATGTACCAATGTGAGCGCAGATCCTCTGGGTTTTCCAATAAATCTTTCCCTTTCTATAATCACAGGGATCAAATCCAGGCCTTGCTCATGTTAGGTAAGAATTCTACACCTGAACAACATCCTCAGCCCTTTTATTTTGAGACAAATTTTACTAAATTGCCCAGGTTGGCCTTGAATTTATCATGCTCCTGCCTCAGCCTCCCACTACCTGTGATTACAGGAATGTGCTATGTCCAGCTTATAGTATGTTTCTTTTCTTAACAAATGAGTTTTGTGCATATGATAGCCTCTCTGTCATATTTAGACCACTAAGTAGGAAGGCAACATACTTCTGAACTATAATGTACTAAAAAAAACTCATCAAAAATACTTCTATTCTCCTTGTTCTTGCATGAGTGACAAAAGTAACCATCTGTGTCTCAGTTACTACATTAACATGACGCAAACACATTCAGCTGCAAAAGTTGTGCTTCAGCAGCAATGACAATGAGACAGCAGTGTCTCTTACCATTTGCTTTATGCTGGTTGAGGTACAGCCCTTTGTAAAACTTGCAAGTTGAATTATCACCTTTGCAAACGCCGCAGGCATCCAAAACTGCTTTGGAGCCAAGTTCATGATCACATCCTACTGGCTGTGGGGAAAAAAAGGTTAGAAAATCATCAAAGATCAGAGAAGCCAACAGCTAAGAATAACTAAGAGGTATGTGGTTTTTTTGTCTTTGCAGAATGTCAGAGAGGGAGGCAGTACAGTGCATGGTTAAAACCACAGTCTCAAGTTTGATTGTGGTTTATCTCTCTCCCCCTGCCATTATTAGACACACGACTGAGCAAGACACAGAACTTGTCTGATGCTCAGACTACATCTGCGACAATGGAAGAGCTCCCTTCTAACACTGGGAGAGATTTTCAGGCCTGTTCCCTGACTAAACCATAAACACACGGATAAGAATACACACATGCACCCATGCGCACACCCTAAAAGGATCAAAGAGTCAAATTTAAATGCAAGAAAAAGTGAGTACTCAAGGAGCAAAGAAAAACAACTAGAAATAAAGAACTGTACTAGTTCAAAGTGTATTTGTGAGGTTCTAGCAATGAAGTGAATATAGTTAGTAAGCAGATAGTAAAGTTTACCATAATTGTTTCATCTACTATATTAATATAAGATAGATCATTATTTCAATTTATTACATTGCAAAATAGAGAGAAAGAGAAATGAAGATAATTGGAGAGGGACCATGCAAAACATTCAATGGGGATTTGAAAGGCTGCATTTACATCCATGTGGAACATTTTTGTCTGCTTTCCCTGTCACCTGTACAGAACTTCTCATGACACTCCTCACAGTATATATTTATATGTAGAAACATATAAATGTAGAAACATGGCCAGATTCCCCAAGGTGGAAATGTTCTCTTACTTCACAGATCCCATCAACACAGATGTCATTTTTGTGCGGGGAACAAGGAGTTCCATCTTTCACCTTGCCGGACATTGCAAAAAAAAATTCAAAATTCTCAGCCTTACAGTACAGTTTACATCGATCTTCCTCTAGAAGCAAAGAGATTGAGGGGACAAGGTCAAAGGGAAATTGTAAGGAAAATTATATGACTATGAAGGGATCAATTACATTGACTCAGGAATCTATCATAATCAAAATAAGACAATGTTGTGCACAGTATTTTGGGTCTTTATTTTTTGGTACCAGGAACTGAACTCACAACCTCACACTTGCCAGGCAGGCGCTGTGCCACAGAGCTACATCCCCAGCCCTATGCACAGTTTTGCATGTACCTCTGTGTGCATATATATAGCAACATGTGCATGTAGCTTTTAAGAATATGAACCCCATTTAACAATCTAAGGGCGCAAGGCCAGAGCACTTGCCTAGCATAGGCAAGGCCCTGGATTCAATCCCCAGCAGTGCAACTCAAATACAAGTCATCTAACAATCCAGGTAAAGCTAATTTCATATTAATACATAAAGATTTTAATCCTTACCAACTGTTACCATACACATGATTGGTGCGCTGTATAGCTAGCCTTCCTTGGATAAGTATTCTAGACTTCAGAGGTCTCATGGTTAGCCATTGATAATATAAAACAGAAGGAGTAACTGCTGTGTGCCAAAGAAGTGCTTTTTAACATGTTCCCACTGGTGTGAACCACTGGCAATATATAGGTGACTTGTAAACCAGCGGTGCATGCATGACTGTCCCATGCCACTCAATGGGACAGTCATATACGTACCATTGGTGATTCAGAGACATTGGCAGCCAGAAATATGAATTACAGCCCTGTCATGAGCATGTTAAAAAAAAAAAAAGGTCAGGTCATAGTTTGATGACCTTTATTAGGACTGGATTACTTTATGTATTTAGTTATGTCTATAAAAAAGAAAAAGTTTAGGCACTTTCAAAAACCAGCATAGAGTCAATAATGTTTATAAAATATGTAGAGTAAAATCATATCATGAAAATTAATAAGGAGCAAATAAACTAATGCTTAGTACTGAAAAAGTAACTTTTGTTGACAATTAAGTCCCTGAGAAGTTTCTGGTATCCCAGGCAAAAGAAAAAATAACTTTACAGAGCTCTTGTTATCAGAAATGAGTTCCAAGAGAAAGAATTCTCTTTGGCCAAGAATTCCAGATGATATTTCTCACATGAGACCTCACTTAGGTGACATTGAATGATATCCCTAACAACGGTTTTACAACAAACGTGTAAACAGTTTGCAAACAATCATGATTCATAAAATCCTCAACAGAAGAAAGTCAAAACTTGAACAAGAAAGAAACGAAATTATTATGGTTGCAATATGTAGATGTGTGGGTGGGTTAAACATTTTTCTTTCCCTACACTTTTTTTAAGTAACAGCTTTTTTGAATGCCTCCTAATTTTCACATATGAGGTTACAAATTTGGATGATACAGATTTTCTTTCTTTTCTCCATCATTCCCAGGAATTAAGTTCTAGGAAGCTTGGTTTTTCCAGCACAGATGCCTGGACAAGTTTACCAACTACTCTTTTAGAAAGACAAGGAGAGAAGAGTAACAGGAAGGAAAAAATGCTCACTACTGCAGAAGAAAGACTGCATTGATGAATAAAGTCTCCACTTGTTTTTCTTAACTTCAGAAAGGTCATACACCTTCCAGTCATCAGGCTCTTCTGATGCAAGTGTCAGAAGGAGAAGAGACAGACCAGAGACCCTCAACTTTCTGTCCCCCTGCACCAGGATATGAGATCCTAACGCTGTCTGTGATGCTTTCTTCAATGCTCTCCTAGGCTAAAAGACCTCAGTAAGCATCGCAGAGTGAATGAATGAAATGGGAAGCTCTCTGCTGAATGAAAACTACAATACAATTAATGAAAGAATGTGACAACCAGGAAACATTTTCTAAGTTACTACATTTATTTAAGGTTCTCTTTATGTATCACAGAATCTATTTAAAGGAGAATAATAAGGCAGATTCCCTAAACACTGCATCTGAATGAAAGAGGTAATGTGGGAATGACTACAGAGTATCCCAGAAGCCAAAGCAAAGAGTAGAGGAGAGGTGAATGGAACAGCGACATCTCAGAGAGGGAACCACATGTAAGAAACATAGAGTTATGAGAATATAAAACCAACAAAAAACCAATCTTCAGAGGTTGAACTGGAAGCAACTCCAGCTCTTCCATCTAATCATCTGCTGGAACCTAGTGTACATAATCCTGCCTAGGTAACTACTCCTCCCGTGGTAAAATAACTCCAGTGATGGGGAGCTTACTACTTACAAATGAGACATGCATCCATTTTGGCCAGGTAATATCTATCTATTCACATATATCAAAAGTCATAGCCGTTGAATATATACCAGGTACTGTTCTTAGATTCTGAAGATCCAGAAGATAAAAGCACGCTCAAGATAACAAAGACTGAGTCTTGTGGAATCTAAATTCTCGTGGAGAGGAAGATAATAAATTGACTAGATCAAAAATGCTTGCTTTGATAAAAGGTCTAAAGAATAGAACAGGGTAAAGGCAACCCTAAGAAGGGGACGACAAAGTCAGGGAAGTTAAAAAGCAGCATAGATGTAACCAGAACAAAGAGTATAAGTAAACAGCCTCTTGAAATTAAAGCCGATTGATAAAGATCAGATTAAACAATCAATAAGTGGGCGTGTGTAAAATGCTTGTAAAAGCCATCTATGGGCTGCATTTTACATGGCTAACTTTGAGCACTATTCATTATTTTGCTATAACAAAGAAACATCGTAAAGAAGGACTGTTACTCAGGCCTACTTCTCCTGGCATCATTTACAAGTCACTTAAGCAGCTGGGAAGAATATTTTAGATAGGCTGGCAAGGGAGGTGTCTCTGGGAAAGTAATGAGACATACAAGATTCTTAGCCCTTAAATTAACTGTGTTCTCTGAAATAATTCCAAATAAATCCAAAACCCCATCTACTCAATATCTCTTCAAATTTTTGAATTAGCTTCTTTTCAGTAGTAAATATCCACAGTTTCCTCATCCCTTCGTCCTAAGACACAGTTTTCAGAATATTTGTTTCTACCTGTGTCTGGGTTTTTGAATAAACAGTCGTGACCCAAAACCTCATCAACACCCATGAAATGGCCTGGTGGTTTTGGGCAAAGCTGCACTCTCTTTGCTTTTTCATTTGGAGGCGTTATTTGTTATGATGATTTCTCTCACTGCATTAGCTTCCTCCACGGTAACGGATGATACAGGTTCATCTGGAATTTTTGCAAAGCAATAGCTCATAACCTTCAGTCCCTTCCCCTTCTGCAGAGGTACAGCAGAGATGCTCAAGGATCCTTTTTCAATCTGGCACAGCTGAGTTCTGATAAATGCTACAACAGTGGAAAGGAAACAACTAGAAGAGTGACAGCTTGTTCTATGTAGGTATAGAAATTATGCCAAATTCTCATATTGCAATGAAAAGAAATGGTTTGGGGGTTAGCCAGAATAACAATAAGCACATTTAAAAAGTACAGTGTAAGCCATAACTTTGAGGTATAAAAAGTGTGAAGAACTCAGTGCAGAGACAGTTTGTACAGAGGGGTGTGTGTGTGCATTCGTGAACACGTGCTCTTCACACACAGCGCTTCCCGTGCTCACTATCGTCTGCCACAGCAGTTGCTGAGGCTGGTGTCTCCATGGGACATATATGGTTTCATGAGTTTTTGCTCTGGGCAGTTCATACCAATTTCAAGGAACATCCCTGGGAGGCAAAACAGTTGAAATGTCAAAGGTGAGTTTAGAAATTTAAGTACATTTCACACACATGGATCCTTTCCTTTACAGATGTGGAAGACAAGGGGTTTCTTGTGGGGGGGGGGTGTGTGGAAAAATAAACAAAACCCATGGAAATTAACAAAAAAATGAACAAGGACAAGTCTGGGGAATGAAAAGTAAACAATGACATGCTCAGACTTTGGCAGCAATTTTTTCCTTGTTGTTCATTCCCATTAGCATCAACACAGAGACATTTGAGTGTTATAGATGATGACTTACCTTCCACTTTTGTGTAAGGTTTCCACTGGTAGAACCATCCACGGAAAGGTTTGCTGTTATATTCTGCACATTGCTGGGCTCGAAAATCCAAGCTATTTGCACTACAAGGGTCAATGTTGCACAGCTTATAAATACGGCTAGATCCTGGACAGAACTTGCCACCATACTGAGGCCTAAAAATAAAATTCAAGAATTTTAATGCTAGCCTTACCATTACTCATGTGCCATAAGGTAAGGAGGGACAATCAAGGTAACCATTTACCACAGAAATGGAAATGCATAGCATACAACTTGCTGCATCCATTCCTGCATCCGCAGCAGACATAATCAATCAATCAAGGAATTCTTTCTTTTTTTTCTCTATTTTTTTTTTTCAGAAGCTGGACATGACCTCAAAATCGTTTTCAACATACCTTTAGATAGCTGCTACCAAGGCTCACTGATTAGAATTGGCATGTGTGATTAAACTTATTTGCTATCTCTGTTCCAATTTTATATGCTGGCAATTTCCTTAGTAACTGATGAAAAGATATTCTTGATATTCATCAGATTGCCTATGTGTCAGAGAAACATAAGAAGACCGAAATGTTCCTAGTAAAATGTACACACACTATGCACCAACATAAAAGCAGACCCACCCTACACCTCAGCTCTTCTTCCATTCCTTAATACTCTTACTGACTTCCCACGCTTTCCCACACACCTGTCCTGACACCCAGGGTCAGGACCCCAGAGAGAAGGAAAAGAAAGTCCCATTGGCCATGTTCCCTCACCCAGCTCTGCCAATCCTCAAGATGGCACTCTGATCGCTGTCTGACTTTTGGGTTTTATTTGACTGGATCCTAAACTGAGGGAAAATACTGCCTTGCTTTCCTCTGCATAATCACTTCTTAACTTCGCAGGTGGCCCGCTGCTTTCTTGCCAAGCACAATGGGAAATGGATTTCCAGAATAGGGAATCCCATTAGAATATAAATAGTTATGATCTAATGATGAGCTATTCAAGATCTTAATGAACAGACTGATCTGCAAAGGCCAGAAAGCAAAACAAAGAAAAAAAGATGCCAACCACATAGAAATTACTACACCCACTTATCCAGTCCACTCTGTGTGTGAAGCAATGACTCCCCGCCCCTCAACAGTGGATCATCACACACAAAAATTCAATTCCAACATGTAACATGAAGGGAGAACCCAGGTTAATAAATTTCTGTGATTAAAAATCCTTGTCTCTCCAGGAAGCACAAGTATTCGTTAAAACACCCTTGGATTTGCTTCAGCATATTTACCAAGTCCTCCTATAACTGCATGTTAAGATGGATTCAGCAGAAACAGGAAGGGCCATGCTGCCAGAATGGGATTTTTATGTTATTTCAAAACATTCTGGAGCAACTCTTTAAACACGCAGCAGCCATGGTCCTAGAGCAAATCCCTGCAGACATCTTACCTTATCTAAAAAGCATTTAGGAAACCTTAAAGTGTTTTATCATAGCTTCAAGATTCCCAGTCATCTTAACAAGACAGGTTTAAAACTAATTGCTACATTTAAGACTTTCTGAGAGTTAACAAAGAACCCTCATGTGGACTGCTCGTATTAAATGAAGTGAAAGAAGACCAGTGTGCTACTTTGTCAACTTGTAGAACCTGTGGCACAGAGAAGATCTCCAAACGCATCATCACGCCTTCCCTTGTTTTATAGGCAAGCAGAAAAATGACCCATAGAGCTGAGAATCCTTGAGGAATGAAGGTCACACAGGAAGAGACAGAGCAGAGCTCAACCTCAGACCTGTGGACTTTGTCTGGGATTATTTTCCTACTCAGCTATTCCTGATTCTGAGCTAGGCAATAGGGGTCTGCATAGGAAGAGAGAGAAGGAGAGAGAGGGCAGTGGTTAGGAGCTAGCCTTTCACCAGTAGGTAGACCTGGGATTTAAATATGCACTGTCTCTTTCACGTTGACTTTAGGCGGTTTGATTTAATCTCATCTGTAAAATGGTGGTAATTCTGACCACCAGTATAACCCCTATAAAGAATTTGAGGCAGTTTCAGTACAAATAAACTTTAACTATTTTTAAATGGTTCATTCTGCTATATAGTAAGTGCTCACGTTGTACTGGATATTACACTATCTCATTTTTACATATTTCTATATTTCATTTTTCATTAGTGTTATGGTTTGTGTCTATATGTCTCCCTAGGGCCTCATGAAATCATGGGACAGGCTTCTGGAGTTTTTAATTGATTCACGGTCCAATGCTGGGATTATGGGTATGAGCACTACACCTGCCCTGGAGTGGTAGCCTGAATACAATATAAGGAAGGGAAAGAGTTTTGCTCTCTCTGCTCCCCCACCCCTCTTGCTCTTATTGCTTTTGCTGTCTTCCACTCCCTTAAAGTGTTGCCCCTGTGCCATGCCACCTTTCCTTGGAGTCAGCTGATTATGGACAGAAACCTTCACTAACTGTGAACTAAATAAACCTTTCCTTCCTTAATTTTGGGCATCAGGTATTTTGTCTCAGCAAGGAGAAAAAAGTAAAGACAAAAAGTAATCAAGACAATTAGGGATAAAGGTAAAGTAATGAAAAGTAAAGACTGTCAAGAATTTGAGCTTTTTAAAAATTAAATCTTCCACCTCAGGTACGTTTTTCTGCAATCTTAAACATTAGTATTAGGATAAATTAACAGAAAATGCTACCATTAGGCTCCTTGGTGCAGCAAGTTCTTTATGATTAGAAATTGAAAATAGAAGCAGAAAATAAAAGTCCTAAGGACTTGATTTGTCCTTATGTTACTATGTGTTTGCTTGTGTCTAATTCATCCTGATTACAGTGGTTATGAAATCTGTTGGATATATCATTATTTGATCACAACTCTGTGAAACACACACACACACACATATATACACATATATACACACATATATACAGGGGATTCCTGGACCCCCAAGACTCTCTCAGTAAGAAAATATAATGTGTACATTGAAACAGAATCAGTATTTCTTTTTTAAAGTACCCTAATGATTCTGATATTTGAACCTGGGAATTACTTGTTGGAAAAGAGGACAAAAATTTGGTTCAACCATTGCTCTGGAGGCAGGCTTTCCTCCAAACTCCATCTGCTAAGTGGTATTAGAATAAATGGCACATAATTCCTGCTGGAATAGATTCATGTTTTAGGGAATTTCTAGAATGCCTTGGCATGCCACTGTTAATTTCCTTGAACAGAGTTTATAGGAATTTACCTGGGCTTTTTTTAATGGTAGAATTTAGCTAGACTCTTTTGGGGGTAGATTGTAGGACTTTGAACTCACTCTATCATTAGCTGCAGGGTTCCCAGGCAGGGGCTGCTGATGTGTCGGGGTGCCTACGATACGCAACTGGAAAATAACTGGATCTGATGAGGCTTCAACCCATGTATTGGTTCTAATCTGATTGGGAGCAAATGCCTGGAAAAGTACTTTGAGAGATTCCTCGAGCTCAGCAAGGCTCGGTACAAAACAGGGCCGAGGGCAAAGAAAACTGTCCACTATAAACCCAGGATAAAGGAGGCAGCCATGTGTGCTGGCGAAGGGCATCTTGAGACTGATAATCTTGAACTCTTTGAAAGCTCTAAAATTTGGGAAATCCGTACATCAGCCAGGAATCACTCATTCTATATGAAAAAAACAAAAAGAAACAAACCAAACATACTGAGGAAAAAATATCACTGGATGAAACAGAAACCCTACACTGCTTCTCAGATGAGAAAATAACAACAGTTAGGCTGAGTGATGAGAACAGAACCAAGGGCTGAAGCAAAGCAAGAAATCAGACTTGAAACAGGGAGAAAGAACCCCAGTTTATTATAACAAAGCAAATTACGAGCAGAGAGAACAATTAATTCAATCGTCTTGGGATATCCTATCGTCTACTTGTTTCATTTGTGACCTCATGCATAGTTAAACGGTATCCTGATTACCTTAATCTCGTTTAATGGGACAAAACGCACCAAGTGGAAATACGTTACTGATTAATTCTTTCATAAGGCTTCTCTAAAATTACAATATATTTCCACGAACAATGCCCTATTATAATGAGAGCTCTCCATCCCATAGATATGAGAAAAGTTTTCATTTAACTCTCAGGGGCACTATTCATGCACTTTACCAGCACAGCTATTAAATTAGGTAATCTATTTCTTTCATGGGAAAATACCGAGATTGTAAAAATGTTGTGATGTATGTGAACCAGATCCGTGAAATACACTTCAAAAATGTAAAGTAGTATAATGATTTTAACAATCCTATCCAAAACATGGGCTACATTCAAAGTGTCAGAAGGACAGTTGTAATAATCTACCATAAATCATAAACACATCATACACCTTCCCATTATGCCCAGCGCCTGGGTCTGGTGAGACCTCAGTGAGTCTCAAAGATGATTTGGCCTTGTAGGCCTAGGGGTAATGCCTGGAGATATTTTTGGCTGTTACAATTTGGAGGATAGAGGGACGGGAAAAGATCCTATCAGCATCTAGGGGGAATGAGAACCATCCTGCAATATTCCAGACAAACCCCACGGCAGGCATGTTCCAGCCTTTCAACTCAATAGTTCCGAAGGTGAAAAGCCCTAGACCAGCCCAAGGTATCCCAAGCAACACCTACAGAAGACTCATAGTTAAAGTACCCTTTATATTTTAGAAAAAAAAAGTGTCCATTGTATTTTGAAAGACATTAGCCTTTTCATCTAGCCCAGCCTGCTGATTCAGATAAAGTACTTTGTCTGGTTCAAACTTTCCTTCTGTTTTAGTTTCCTTATTAGTGTAATTCTCATTTTACCTCACATTTGTGCCACGCTTGCTTCCTGCCAGGTGCTTTTCAAATCAAATCACCACTATTACCTCAGCCGGTGAGGTGGCATCATTACCCCATTTTCATAAATGAGGCCCCTGGGAACAGACAGAGCTCATCACCAGTGGCCACGTGGCCTGCCCTGGCAAGCCCAGGAGGCAAAGCCAGGCTGTTGGGCTTCAGGGTCGACTGTAAGCTCTGTACTAGGACTGCAATTGTGTTGTAAAATTAAATCCCCTATTTTCTGACTCCCTGCCACATTCTTGTCATTCCACTGCACTCTCTAAGATCCAGTAGTATCAGTAATGCCTCTGCCCCTCCCCCTGCTGCTGCCTGTCTTAGTTACTTTTCTCTCCTTACTGAGGCAAAATACCCGACATCCAAAGTTAAAGGAGGAAAGGTTTATGTAGCTCACAGTTTGTGGAGGTTTCCGTCCATATCAGCCGGCTCCAAGGCAGAGCAACACATGACAGAGGGGCAACAGTGCTTGGTGGCAGAAGATAGCAAAATCAGCAAGCGAGAGCAAAAAGGAGGAAACAAGCCTCTTTCTGCCCGTTTTATTTTATCCAGACTACTGGGATTAGTGTGGTGCCAATCCAATCAGTGGAGTGATCCAGCAATCACCCAGCCTTAATCCCAGCACCCTTAATTTCAGCATTACACTATGAATCAGTCGCAAACTCCAGATCCAGCCACCTCCGAAAAAGCCTGCTCCCCCATGACTGCATGAGGCTTAGAGGGGACATCTAGACACAAAGCCTAACACTGCCCACCTGGTGAGCTTGGGATGAGAACTTTGAAAGACACACAGGCTTGAGAGCCTTTTGTGGAGGATCTAAGAGATGCTCCCTTGTCTTTGGGGCATTCTGCAGGCACGATTTCTAATTCTGCCCAAATCATCTGAGGTGAGTGACACATCTCCATTTCCTGCAACACCCAAGCTCAGAGTTCAAGTGACTTTGCAGAAGCCACACAGCAAAGGGGCAAACACAGGATCTAAAGCCTTTTGGTCTCAGAAGCGTAGCTCTTTCTCCATCGGCATGCCAAAGGGGAAATATCTATCTTACACACGAACTGGAGCATGTAAAAGTTTTTGTTTTGTTTTGTTTTTTTTTGGTTTTTGGTTTTTCTCCGGTACCAGGAACCGAACTCACGACCTTGCGCTTGCCAGGCAGGCGCTTTTGCCGCTGAGCTAAATCCCCAGCCCCTGGAGCATGTAAAAGTAACCCAAAGCCACCTCCATGTCACTGAGGATAGATGGTAGTGTGACTTGACCATGGATGACTTGGTTAATCTTCACAGTGGCTTTTAGTTTAGTTTTTAAGGAAAATCAGAACAATTTGTTCTCAAATTTTCAAAACTGGGACATTTCACCCTTATTTCTTCCTGGTTTCTCCTGAAAGCTTACGTCAATCTGTCAACACACGTTGGTGCATATTTCTGCATGGCAAAAATCTCAATTTGTCCAGCCCCCGATTTGGGAAGTGCACACAGGTGCTGACAGCCAAGACCCCATGTTCTGCAATATTTGAGGCATTTGACTGTATAGCTATGGAGTTCTTACTGAGATTTAAGAAAGCAATTCACACTGTGGTAACTGACCGGCCACTTAAAAATTTCTTTTTCTGGTACTGGGGATTGAGTTCAGGATCTCTGCACTGAGCTACATCCTCAACTTCATGCATCCATTCATTCATTCACCAATTCATTCATTTAGAGGTACGATCTCACTGAGACATAAGGTTGCCTGAGCTGGACAAAAACTTGTGATCCTCTTGCCTCAGCCTCCTGGACAGCTGGGATTATAAACCTGAGCCATCTCGCCTAACCAGACTGGGGTCTTTGGTTGTCCTACTCACACAGCGTAGCTGCCCTTGCTGTGTTTTGGTTTCTGCCCGCCCTGCCATTCCCCAGTACACAGAGCGTCCGTATGCAAACAGCAAAACACTGTTGATTGCTATTAAGCCAAAGGATGAAAACAACACCTGACACAGCCTGTACCAGGCTGAAGGTCCAGGCCTTCCAAAGACCAGTTATCTACTAGAGTCTTACTTGGGGTTGTTGCAGTGTCTCTCTTGATACTTGACTCCTCCACCGCAAGTCCGGGAACATTCTGACCACTTTGACCAGGCAGACCACTGGCCATGGACGGGCCGGGGTCCGAGCTCCCCCAACTTCACACATTGGCCTTGGCGACACCACTGTGGAAGGAACATGACACGCTTCCTGTCAGAAAGCCCTGGACAGCACAGGGAGATGAAACACGTGCATACAGAGAAAGACACTGTGTGACACCCTGATCAGTTCTTGCCCTGCCGGGCTTTGTAAACACTCAGAAACTCCAGGTGCACCACGTACACCAACAGGCTGCCATCTGGAGAAGTGCGGCAGGTTTTGTGAGCTATCCACATAACATGCCACCCAACAGCCAAGAGCAGGTGACAAAATTAAAGTGGAGCTTCTCTCGTCAGTCACGGACACTGTTACCTCAGGGACAGCTCAGATGATTCATTCAAGCAAAAGTAGTTTTTGAGCTATCAACCAAGAATTGGTCATTTGGAGCGATTCTTCTCATCATCAAAATAGATGCAACTATAAACACATTAGATATTTTTTCATTTAAACCATCTATAGAGCACCGCTCATGAAACTGGCTAACTCAGAACAGTTGATTGTCTGTCTGTATGAAAGGTCCCTACTTCAGAGCCTCGGCTGTCTGTGAACTCCTAGCATCTTTGATGAGTTAGAGCTGAGTCTTTATTTGCCCAGCATCTGTACAAGGTAGAGTGATATGTCTTCTGTGCTAATCTTCCAGTGTTGGTGTTTTGCAACAAATTCCAGGCTGTGCTGGTCATCTCCCTCCTTGGGGGCTGCATTAGCCTATGGTGTCTTTTATTTTCCCTCCTGTGGTGCTTCTATTATGAGCAAGTTCTGCATGACTAAGCATACCTGCGCATGTTCCTAAAAGCTTCTGCAATTAGATACGAAGGGCTGGGTTTGGACCATGCCAGATTTTGTTGAGGAGTGGGGGCTCAGTTACAGAATTACAGGGAGACTGTTTTGACATTTAAATCTTCACATTTCCCCCGTGATACATTTGGCTTCATGGCTGTTGATTGTGTGGCTTCATTGCTGGTGCACATTGTCTATGTTAACATATTGCTTCCTTCCTTCATATTCTTGCCACGTGCTGACTAATTCTTCTGCCTGTAATTTTTTTCCCCTGGATTAATTGCCATTTCAGAGATTGCATGAAATCACATAATGTTTTGGGAACTTTAGGGGGGAAGCAAATGGTCATTTGAGGAGTCTGTCTACCATAAGCATGCATCTTCCCTACCAGGAATTATGGGGCTCCACTGGGCTGAGCTTTGGGGCTGAGATACAACAACAAAAATAATAGCCAGTAATCATATCACCAGCAGCAGTTAAGGCTGCTTCTGTCCTAAAAGTGGTGGGGATAACTTTGTATATAAAATCTCATATAATCTCTGCAGAGCTTTTAGGAGTTGGATGCTAGTTATACAGATGAGAGAGATTTAGTGAGGAAATATTAACATGCTCAGAGTCACACAGCTACCCAGACCCTTGCTTAAGTGGCAGAGACTGGACTTAACTCAGTAGCCAAAGCTTATAAGGGGACTTCTACTTCTCATCTCAGGGGTATATTACTGATGAATATATCTTAATGTTAGTCTAACGTCTTTTTTGGAAAGGAGGCTTTTTTTTAGATCTGTTCTAATCAGTCAATTAGTCAGACTTTTTATTATTTCAGGGTGTATCCTAGACTGGGTTAGGCTGATGACAGCTCACCTCTCTCTGGTTTTTCAGTGTAGAGAGTTGGAATACATAGGAATTTACATATAAACATGCAAATAATCACATGCATATATAAATTCTACATATAAAAGTAAATACTAAATATGTGCATATGTAATTTCATCCATTTTCTGGTAGGTAGCATGCACAAACATTTTTTTCTTTCTTTTTTTTTTTTTTTGGTGGTTCTGGGGGGTCAAACCCAGGACCTTGTACATATAAAGCAAGAACTCTACCATTGAACCACATCCCCAGCCCACAAACCTTTCTTCTTTGCACACATCTTTTTTTTTTTTTTTTTTGTCTTTTTGAGGCAGGGTCTCACTATGCAGTTCAGGCTGGCCTTGAGCTCACTTTGTAGCCCAGGCTGGTCTCAAACTTGCAAGGATCCTCCTGCCTCCGCCTCCCGAGTGCTGGGATTACAGGCGTGCGCCACCATGCCCGGCTGCACACATATCTTGATATAAAAGTATATGGCTTTTATGTCCTCAAACATTTACTAAGTATTCATAGTACACATATCACTGAAGGACAAGAGGCTGGAGCTGTACCGGGAAGGATATATCTGGGTTCTCCTGGTCACAAACAAAACATTAAGCAGCTGCTACACTGTCCCTGGCATTCAGGTGAAACATGACTAAGCCATGGCCTTGGCCTGCTTGGAGCTTGCAGTCTAGTGAAGAACCAACTGCATTCCCAGGTGAAGGAAGAATCAGAGGAATGAATGAAGAGAGAGAGAGGGAGAGTTAGAGAGAGAAATTATTACACTGGAGTGATGATGGATGGAATTTACCAGGATGCTTTCTGCTGAGAGTGACCTTACAATGCAGGGCTTTCCCACAGCATTTAATTTATAACCTAAGTTAAAGAATAATGGGAGATGTGGTGGTATATTAGGCCATTTGTTTTAAAACTTCTGGCCTAATTTATCTTGTGCTCTGCTTACCGAAGTCTAATGCAGGTGTATTTAATCCCCATGGACTCAGATCCTTGATGTATTTATGTAACAACTTTAAACCTATGTTATATATTACTTATTTGCCTTATTTATATCAATCTTTTCTTGTATTTACGTCAACACATCCCACGTTTAAGGCTGTTGCTTTTTAAAATCCATTCATTCTCAAGTTGCATGTTTTAAGTTTTGCAGCTCCAAAAACAAAAGTGATTTGAAGAGTATTTATGTTCTCAATGACTCCATTAATTCATCATTTGTATCATCACACCTCTAAAACTATTAGCATTGTTAGCAAGAACACTTACGCTAATTTCCCAGAAGCAATATATCTGATTGAAATCTGTGTATAACTCTCTAGTTTCTAAAACGTTTATTATCTTTAAAATAAATAAATGTTTAAAATTAAACATCACAAATCTTCTAAAAGACACTGAATAAGTGCTTTAACAAATATCAGGAATCATTCACCTGCTGGATACCCGTTGGTTGGCGTGCATTTATGATTTGCTTCTGTTTTGAGCCTCTCTGGAAAAAGGTACTTATTCTTCTTAAGCCACTGAAGAACTTCTACGTAAACTCCAGTGTCTACCTTGCTATACCCACTTATTGTAGTTGTTGTAAGTGTGTACCTAATCCAAGGCATGACTCACACCTCATTCTTCTGGGCCTTGATAGCAACTAGTGCTTCAAGAGTGTGGACCTTGAAGAGAGTCAGAAGTATTGGCTTCTGCATAGATTTCCTGACTTGACTATAAAGTCTTGAAGAGGCATGGCTGACTTATATTCATCTCTATAGTCCCAGAGTCTCCTGTACCCAACATCTAGTACTCAAAAGATCACCGAGGAACTGGATTTGCTTTAAATGCCCGTTTCCTCTACACAGGCTTGTCTTGCGGGTAGTGTGCCAAAACCAGAGATCAGCAAACCTGCAAACGTCATCATTTACAGGAGCTCTACCGTAGTCCTTCAAATGCACTCCCCAAATCTGGACCATTTACTGGTACTTCCAGGGCAACTTGCCCTCAAGATTTTACTGGGAAAGGGAGGAAGCTAGAAAGTAATAAATGACAGTGCTTAAGTGGAGGGAGAAGCCCTCGATCCTTCAACAGCAATGCCACTGTGAGTGGCGGGATCTATGGGCATGGCAGAGGCTCTAGGACAGCTTCTGTGAGCTGAATAGCAGAGGATTTCATCTGGAGGGACAATCATTTCATTGCTACTTATGGGCACACCTGCTTCCTGAGGTTCTTACATAAAATGTCAAGTTTAAGAGGCATAAGGTATTCCATGAAGCCTATTAGCTGAGTGAAACAGAGATATGTTGACTCAAATCTCCATCTTACAAAACAAGGAAAGCAAAGGCAAACAAAATCCTTAAATAATGGAGCTAGCTGGGTTATATCAGTATTCCACGTGCTACGTAATGCTGGCTACTGTAAAGAGAAGGCAGAAAATACATGCAGCCAAGGTGCAGTGTTCGAAGGTCACAATACAAGTAGTCTGGTTGGGTGGGTTCCATGACTCTCAGATTTCCAGAGCTAAAAGCTAACAAGTATGCAGTTTACCATACTCAAGCCACAAATGGTTCCTTCGGCTGCCGGCATAAACTTGGTCTCACACCTGTGGGCCACTTGGTGACACCAAAGTGATTTGCACATGTCCTGAAAGGAAAGAAGGTACTGATGAGGGTGACGCTCCCAGAAAAATGAAAATAGTCAAAGCTTTTATACGTAATATTATATTGTGGGGTCCCTGAAATCAGACACAGTATTCAGAAAGAGGCAAATAGAGTTGGAGAAGCAAGGCAGGAGTCTCTAGCAATGGAGGCACAGGAAGGTTCTATGGCACCTGTACATTCACGGCTGGGGTAGCAACAATTAACTTGGAGAACATGCGGCTTTGACCCAAAGGTCTGGTACCAGTCTAGCAAAATACACCAAGACTGAAATAAAGCAATCTGAACCAAATCCTTATCCTAGAATTAAGGATGTATGTCCCATGGACATGTTATAGAATCCACTGATGCTGCAGTTTCCTCTGTTTTTACTGCATTTTTCTGTTTCCACTGTAAAAAGTGACAAAATTAGCACTTGATTCAATATCTGTTATCAAGTATAAAATGATACAATGCACGTTATAAAATGATTAGTTTGCCTGGCATATGCAGTTCTCCAAAATATTGGTTCGTATCGTCATCATTTTCTTCACCTTTATTACAATGTTTGTTCACTTAGATAATTTAATTCTCATTTTAGACCTATGAGATTAGTTTAATTTTCACAGTAGACTGTGGTAGGCTGAATGATGGTCCCTAAGATGTTCACATCCTAGTCTCTGGGACCTAGGAATATGTGAGGTTACATAGCAAAGAGGAGAATTAATATTAAGGATGAAACTGAATTTGCTAATCAAGTGACTTTGAGATGGACAGTCTGCCCTACATTTTCTAGGTGGGCCCAGCATAACTTCAAGAGTTTTTAAAATGGGAAAGAGGAGACAGGAAAGCATGAGAGAGATGGTAGCCTAATGGGAACTCAGAAGGATGCTGCTGATTCTAAAGATACAGGACTGCGCCATATACCAAGGAATACAGGAAGCTTCTAAAAGCTGGGAAGGGCAAGAAAATAGCTTCTCCTCTACAGGTTCCAAAGGAACACAACCTTGCTGACACCTTGACCTCAGCCATTCAAATGTCTACACCCAGAACTGTAAGGTGATAACTTTGTGTTGTGTTCAGTCACACTAAGCTCATGGGAACATATTACAACACCAATGGAAAACTGAGAATCTAAAGTCACTGAGAATCTAAATTAATCAAACTTATTTAGCTGAGGAAATGGAGCAAGGAACAAATACTTTCAAAGCTGCAAAGTCACGCAGTAGGCAAGACAGCAGTCAGGACCCAAACTGGCCTGGTTCCAGAGTTGAGGTCCTTCACCATTACTCTGGACCTGGATTTGCCATGAATGGATGTTGGAAAGCTCTCTTCTGTCCCAGGCCTCCGTTCCTCATCTGTACAGTAAGGGTACTGAGCCAGGGAACTTCAGCTCAAGGAGCTGCAGTTGCTATACTGCATTATGTCACCAGTGGAATGTGATGAGACATCAGCAAAGACCCATTCTATGTGCCACGTTCTTTTCAGAGGTAGAAATGTAAACCCACACATTTGGGAGAAAATACTGACAACAGAATAGAAGACAACATGACTTTTTGTGGACATTTGAACTAACTCTAGCACTTCAACTAGACACTCAATTCTTCAAGAGTGCCTCTTAATGTTTTATAGAAATAAAGCAAGAACATTAGTAGTAATAGTTCACACATTCAAAAAAACTTTCTGCTGAACTAATAAAACAGGGAAACCAGATGTATGTAGTGATTCTCACATTATAGATGGTAAAATTTTTCCCTCCTAAAGAGAATGGAAGGATATCCACATCAATACTTAGAAACACGACCACCACCAACAGCCCTAGACATGAATGCAAAGGTCATCTCCAAATCTCAAAGCTCACAAGACACAACGAATACATCTTTCCATGAAAGTGCTGGTGACATTGGCAAGAAGGATGAGGCAACCTCTCAGGTCTAGATGCTTCCAGATGAAGTCACCCTGGGGTGCAGAGGGTCTAATTCATATAGAACAGAGAACAGTCCGGGTCCAACTGGAGAATGAAGTGGCCAGTCTTTGGAAGAGTTAAAGCCGTACTTACAAAGGCTTTCTGAATTAGATTTCTATCTTCCTTACAGCCATGGAAAGCTATAACCCATACCCACAGCCTATGTGGCTGCCTCCAAAATGACCCTAGGGCAGACCAAAGAAAGGAGGCTCCACGCCACGGCCAGTGCCAGGCCACAGGACTGAGAGGAAGGGTGATTGGAGAGGGCCAGGGGAATAAAGCAAAGCAAAGCAAAACAAAACAAAACACCAGGATTGCAGAGTAAAACAAGACAGGCTGCATGAACATGTTATTTCTTCTGTGGTGAAGTGCAGAAGTCAAATGTAATTATAGCCAACTACATGCTTTGACGACCAGGAAGCCCTCTGAGAAAGCTCCCTTTCAAAGTAAACACAAAGGAGGGCTTGCACTTTTTTGCTTGTACCCCCTCTTTTTTCTCCAGCACATTCAACCAACTTCTTCTTATCTATAATTACCTGGACATAAGTCATAATTTAAGGACAAAAGAAATAACTATAGAGACCCCAAGGTCTCGTGTTGCCTGGGTTTGATTTGTCTGACCGAGACCACATTTTTAAGGGAAGAGACATGACAACATCCACCCTCCCTCTTGTTTCTCACTGACCATGTCCTCTGGCTTTATTCCGTCGCATGGACAATCCTTCAGATAAGGCCTGCCATGCGAAAAATGTTCATGGTGTCTGAAAATCAAATCTTACAAAGCGCCCAATTTAGTACATTCAAAATGAAACTCCTCATCAACCGCCTAAAGCTTTCTATAGTCAGCTTTCCCTATCTCACTTCAGGCCACCTGCCTCATCCCATCTCTCAGACCCAAAATCCTACAGTCATCTTTACCCTCTCTCTCTTTCATTTTCCATGAGGAAATCTGCCAGTAGATCATGAAATCATATGGACTCTACCTTCAAAATAGCTCTAGAATCTGAACAATTGTCACTACATTCACTGCTACCACCCTGTTCAAAGCCACCTGTGAGCTGGCTTACTGCCACCCCTACCCTCAGCCCAAGCCTACATGCTGTGGTTTCCTCGAATCCTGTTCAATTTATTCTCAACTAAGCACTGTCCAATATGGTAGCCTGTAGCCACATGTGATTTGTTGCTAAATTGGAATTTAGATTACTTACATGTAAATTAAAAATTCATTTCCTCTATCATACTACCTCATGTTCCAAAGAGTGAGATGTGATGAATGGCTACCACCTCAGATGGCAGGGAGCATTGCTAACACTACAGAAAGTTCTATTGCATAGCACTGAGCTACGGAGATCCTTCCACATCAGGTCAGCTAGCTTATGTCACGTTTCTGCTCAAAACCATGCAGTGCAGTCATACTTCACTCAGAGAAAAATCCAAAGTCCTTATTATCCCCTACCAGCCACAAGTCATTAGGTCCCCTTTATCTTTCTCACCTGGAGTCTCCCCAACTCACCCCTGCTCACTCTGCTCTATCCATGCCGGCTTCACACTGCTGTGTAAACACCTCTGGTGTGCGCCAAACATGAGCCTTTGTACCTCCCACCTATCTGAACATCTAATATTGTTTTCTACCTCCTTCAAGTCTTTGCCTATATTTTACCTCCTATGGCCACACTATGAAAGAGGTAATCACCCACCACCCAGTCAGCTCCCAATTTCTCCTTCCTACACTCTACTTTTTTTAACTCTTCCAATTCTATATGTATAATGCCTGCCTCCCTTGAAACATCAGTGCTACCCGGGGAAGGGACTTTGCTTTTTCTCTGATGCATTTCAAGAACCTGGAGTAGTACCCTGCTACAAAGCAGATTGCAATAAATATTTTGCAGTAAATCAACATATGAATGAAAATTACTGACTTTATAATTACAAAGCATCTTCACTGATAATAAAGATCATGAAGCCCTAGAGCAAAGTCTTCAATTAAACTATAGAAGAGAATCTGACAAAATCTGTTAAGAAATTGGGTGCTGATGCAAAGAATTTTACCTAAATTATTGTTCTGCATCCTCATGATGACCCAGTGAGAAAGGTACGAGTGTCTTCCTCAGCACACCCCTAGGAAAGCTGACATTCGAGAGGAGTTAAGCAAACCCCTCAACTGCCTTTAGCAGGTAAGTCTCGGTTGACCTGGATATAAACCCACTTATGTTTAACCTCACTGCCCAAACTTTTAAACTAAACGCTGATTCAAAAGCAACAGTTAACAATTAAAAAGTAACAATCAACAAGGATTGTCACCAGTACCATTTTTGAAATCAAGATTACTGAGGTATAATTTACTACCATAATATGCACCCATTTTAAGCATACGGTTTGAGGAGTTGTTTTTTTTTTTCTGTTACAAAATATGCATACCACTGCAGACACCTCATAATCAAGGCAGAACATTCACCCCCAAATTCCCCTCAGAGGCAGCTGCTGCTCTAATTCCCATCACCATGAATTAGTGATGTATTTTTTAAAAATGTTATATAAATGCAATTATATAGAGTGGCCTTTGTTTTCACCTGGCACTAGAGATTGAAGTCAGGTTGATGGTAATGAAATTTTAAACATTTGCCATAGTTTTGAACCAGACCTTGTAACTACTTGCTCCCACACATGCTCCTGCCATTGCCATCTGCCACCATGTGACACAGGCAGTAGGGCCCTCGGCAGCTGAACTATCACTGGTGCCAAGAGGCCCAGGAACTCCCCAAACTGTGAGCTAAAGAAGCCTCTTCTTTATAAGTAGCCTGCTTCGGGTATTTTGTTATAGCAACAAAACACTGACAAATACAAACATGTTCCTTTTGGAAAGGAACAAAGAACAAGTTTGATGTGCCAGAGACACAGAAAATATGAGACTGGGAGAGGAGAGGGGTAAGGAAAAGTGGGAAGAATAACCAGCCTCAGACCCATTGCCAAGGCAGCTGCTGAGAAAGAAGAGTCAGGTATAGCAGGTACAAGGACACAGAGGACAGAAGGAAGAGACCAAGAGGGATGCCTACTCACTTACGGAGTGATGCAACTATACGGAGAGATTACAGCTCACAGACTGCCCAGCAAAGAACTACTATCCTCTTCTCCTTACAGATGAAGACACTTACACCAAGGGATGTGTGAGTCATTTGCCCAAGCTTCTAGGAAGTGGCAGACTCACATCCTAGATCCAGGTCTACCTAACTCTAAAAGCCAGAGAGGGTATAATGGCTGATGATTGTTGAATTAAGTGGTCCTCAAACTCAAGAAAGCATCAGAATCACTGACAGCTCTTTAAATAAAGACAGAGATTGCAGAACCCTACACCTGAAGTTATCCCTCAGGCCTGGAGTGGACCTGAGCATTCACACTTCCAACAAGTCCCAGGGGATGCTGACATGCTGTATGTGCTGATTGGAGAGGACACTCGAGAATGAGGTTGTTTGATTTTGGTACTTCTCACTACCATCAAACTTGCCTTTTCAGGAAGCATAGAGAAGGGTTAGCGCTACTGCGAGGGGATGGGATGGAACTGGATGGGATGGGATGGGGTGGGGTGGGGTTAGATAAGGAAGGGAGGTGAAGGGGAGAGGAAGGGGAGGGGAAAGACAGGGAAAAGAAGGGCAGGGCGAGGCAGGGCGGGGCGGGGCGGGGCAAGGCAGGGAAGAAGGAAAAGGGCAGACAAACTAAGGAAAAAGAGAGAGAAATAGATAGGACAATGAAGGCTCCAGAGACAAATGTCATTCCCGCCTACAGCTGAAGATGGTCTAAACTGTTTATGCCAAGCAGGACAAATAGGGATTTTATTGTTTTGGAAACCCCTCCTCACTACAGCCTGACAGAAAACTACTATATTTATGATCCTCTGAGGTGTGGTCATGATTCAAGTTATAACTAGAATTAGGACGAACACCAAACACTCAGCTGTGGCCAAAACAAAATCCACATTGAGGACCCACCGGCCACCCCTACCTCCTCCATTTTACCTTATCATTATTTTCAGTAGTTTCTCTCACTCTTAAGCAAATCGCCTATTCCTCCGGACCTTCCTACTTCCCTGCCCTTCATCACATTTCAGTCCTCTTCAAGTTTGGAGTTTTCCTTCCCCGTTGCTTTTTGCTGGGAAGACCCTCAGAGTGAGATACTATCTTTTAAAAGTATGATGCAGTTCCAGAAAAGATCTATGATTTAAGAATGACTCCTCCTTAAGCCCTGTATGCCATCTGACACAGAACAGGCACCCCACAAATGTTTCTTCAATATGTGATCCTGAAGGAATGATAGTAACTTTAGGAACTTCTTTTGTAATTCCACAGAAAATTGTACTCACTATCTCTGCATGCACACGCTCTGTAGTAAATGCATAATATCCGACTGATGATTGGGAAAACCAAGGAGTCCTCCAGAATGAAGTGAATAAGAGACAAAGGTAGGAGATAAATGGCTATCTACTTCTGCCAAAAGCCTCAATGTAACAGGCTAATAGGCACACCTCAGAATTTGCTATTTTTTGCATACACTATGCCAGCATTTGCCGAAGTAAAGTCTGTGTGCCACAGAGGATATGTGAAAAAAAAATTTGTGGATCTGGATAAACACATTTAACAATTACCATTTAAAGTGCATTAAAGTATATAATCCCATACTAAACCTAAATTTTAATATACATTTTCCTTAGGAATGGATGTACTTTGAAAGTGAGTTGATTTGTAGAAAAGCAGTAAGAGAATAAAAATACAGAGATACCACACAACAAGCTAAGGTAGTTAGTTGTAAGTGACTAAAGATGAGGAAAAACTGTATTCACTGAGAGAGAGAAGGAAGCTCACCATCCACATGGATGGTTTGTTTTGTTTAGATTCTATCATTGAAAAGTTTTGGGCAAGTTGAATATCTTCACTGAAATCCAAGTGAAAAGTGGTGATAATTTTGATTTTAAAGATTTTTTGAAGGCTGAGGTCAGGCAAAATAAATCTCTAAGTGGAGCAGAGGCCCACTTAGAAGCTCCTGGGGGACAGTGGATGGTGCGATGGTGGTGGGGAGCAGATGGTGGCGGGCAGTGGGTGTGGTGACGGTGGTTGGTAGGGGTGTTAGGTAAAGGTGATGGTGGGCGGTGGGGGATGGTGGTGTCAGAGGCACTGTTATCATGGCAGTGGTGTTGCTGATAAGTGGTTTTGTTGCTCATAGCAATTAATACTGGTGGTGGTGGTGGTGGGTAGCAGTAAAAAACAACAGATAGGAAAAAGAAGACCAGGAGAAGAAAGGGGAAGAGTACTAGAAATATAGGAGGAAAGAGGCGCTATTAACCTCCATAATGTTCATGGATCCAGGACCTAAGACCTCAATATTGCTCACTGAATACTAGGAATAAACCAATTTAAAAATGATTCTGCTCTTCAGTGATGTTGAGATTATAATGCTGTCAGTGATGCAGTTCTTGACCAGGTAGAACTAAGTTTCTCTCAGTTCTATACCCTGGACTTTTACATGTTCCTATTTCTCTTTTTAATGTTCTCTAACAAAAACCTTATTAAGAATTCTCAAGATATACCTTAAATTTTAATGTTCCACAAAACTTGGCTGTCAGTAATAGTTTTCTTTTAAGAGGCACTTGGTACATTTTGTTTTGTTGTTTTTTTTTGTTTGTTTTTTTTTTTTGGTTTTTCTCCGGTACCGGGAACCGAACTCACGACCTTGCGCTTGCCAGGCAGGCGCTTTTGCCGCTGAGCTAAATCCCCAGCCCCCACTTGGTACATTTTGGGCTGGTGATCATTTTAAGTGTATTACATTAAATGGGAATATGAACAAGAAGAGAACAAAAAGAGTGATTGGCAATAAGTAAAAGGTATTGTTCCCAGATAAAGCCTTCATCTAACAAGAAATTTTCTTCCAAGCATGTAGTAAGTGGTATTTAAACCAGGCATAGTCTGTGGGGGATAATCCTGGATAATTCACTGACAGTAAAATTGCCACTTAATTAGCATGCCAAACAGCTGACATTTTAGATAACCCAGACTTTGACCTTTGCCCTAGGCAAACCAAATGTTTATCGTTCTGGTAGGCACACAGACACACTGCAGAATTTTAATGTAAGTTTGAAATCACAGGCAAACATACCTTCACAAAACCAAGGCTGCATAACTTGGCTTTTGCTCCAAATTGCCACTTGCACTGTGTGTCTGCATCGTAAATCTGCCCTGGCAGTTTGTCGGGATATTTATACTGTCCTGTTTGCTTGGGCTCGTCCACCAGACACCCAGCCTGAGGTGTGCTGCAGGGATAATGCATCTTTGTTAGTTACTCTGCTAATCTGTGATGTTTCCATTTAAAACAATACCCCTCTGCATGCAGCCTTATGAAGAAAAATTGAATTTGGCTAAAGAAATAGGTATCTGTTTAAAATCAAAAGGCACTTTTTTTTCCATAAAGAATGAAGGGCTTTTCAAAGAGCTGGACATTCTATGTATCCTACTGATCTGGCTTGGGATTACAGATGGGAAAAGTAAACATTTAGAAGCTTCCTTTGTCAGTCTTGTTCAACAATCTTCATAAATTTTTACTGAGTGTCTACTATGCGGTAAACATTTGGCTAATTACTAAGGGCACAAAATAACCCAAACAGAGGCAGTACCTATCTTTGTGGAGTTTTCAATCGTGGTATATTTTTTACAGTTGGTGAGGCAGAAGTCAAAGATGTACTTTGCCTCAAATGACTTTCATAAATAAAAGTAAATACAGTTATTGAAAGAATAAGGAGAAAGAATATACTGGGGCATGAGGCAAATTATCAACATACCTACGGTATGTTGGATCAGGGCATGTGGAGAACAAAAATCAGTCTTGATAACATAAATTTTCTTAGCGCCTTCTATCCACTTAAACAATTGAACTACACTACTACAGAAGGTTAAGCGTAGTTGTGTGGTCAGCCAGATGGGAGTCCTATCGACCATGCATCCAAGACCCAATCAATAACTCTCATAAACCTCATTAATGACAATGAGTCCCACAACAGTGGTTATATAAATCCAACAAGAAAATGCAAAATGCTAAAAGCGGTAAAGTAAGCAAAGCTAGCAGCTGCTGCTATTATCATTATTATGCCAAAGCATTTAACTACAACATACTATTAACTGAAATCCACTCTACAGCAAGTTGATCTTGATGTAGGATATTTATTTGTTCCATTCTCACACAAATTACAAAAGATAACTTTCAGCCCCAAATCATGAATTTAAGACATATAAGATCTACCAACAAAGTTTATTATTAACAAAAGGTTTATCCCTTTTGTACTATCCTTTGGGCATCCTTTAATTAGACATCCAGGGGCTGGGGATTTAGCTCAGC